CCCCCCCCCAACACTAGCCATCTCTCGTTTTAATCCTGCATCCTCTCTTTTGCTAGACAAAAGAGAACTTTAGACTTAGATTCTACAACACCAGACTAGTGTAAGATGTCAATAACGGGGAAATTGAGTGCAGAGTACGTGAGAAAGACATTAAATATATAAGAATTCTTCTTGTCTGTAAATTTAAAACTGTTCTAAACAATAAAGTCTACTTAAACATTTGTAAAATTTTTTAATTCTATTTTGAGACACAGAGAGGGTGAGTGTGTGTGTGTGCGTGTGCACAAGCAGGGGAGAGGCAGAGGGAAAGGGAGAGAATCCCAAGCAGGCTCTGTGCTGTCAGTGTAGATTCTGTCGCAGGGCTCGATCCCACGAATGAACTGGGAGATCATAACGTGAGCCAAAATCAAGAGTCGGACACTTAACCGACTGAGCCCCCCAGGCACCCCTAAACTTTTTTTAAAAAAGAACATAGGCTCTGGAGTCTGACCATCTGATTAGAAACCTAGTCTGTGCTTTACAAGATCATGACTTGAGGTAATTTGCTTGTATTCTCCGAGAGTCAGTTTCCCTACCTATAAATGGGAATAGGAAAAGTGCCTACCTCACAGGATTTTTGTGATAAAGGACAGACTCCATAAAGTGCTTAGCACAGAGTATCTGGCAAAGAGTGAACAGTAGATGGCAGCTACTATCGTTATTATTCCTATTATTTTAAGTCTTTAATATTCAAATACATATTTAATGTAATTTTACATTTAATTTGTTTTAAAATGATGAATAATAATTGCTCTGATAATTTCTTTTTTTAAGAAGAGGAAATCTAAATACAACCATTACAGACTATCTATAAAAGGGTTTCCTTCTCAATGTATCATAAGCACTGAAAAGTTTCAATTTAATTCGAATAACACTCAATAACCCTCTACCGTAAAGTAATGAAATGACTTGCCACCAAGTATACATGTTCCCATGTCTGTAAGATAGTATAAAATAAATAACATTTTCAATCTGGGCTCCTACTTTCATTGCGAAGCCATAAAATCATCACCAACCAGAGAATGTTAACCTAGTGATTACACTATTCTTAATAACAATACATGATAAAAGTGACTTGAAGAATAATATGTAGAATACGTTTAAAGATAAAGAAAATTAAGTGGAGGAGCACCTGGGTGGCTCAGTTGGTTAAGCATCCAACTTCGGCTCAGGTCATAATATCATGTTTGTGAGTTCAAGCCCTGTGTCCGGCTCTGTGCTGACAGCTCAAAGATTCTGAGAAGCAGACAGCCTGCTTCAGACTCTGTGTCTCCCCCTCTCTCTGCCCCTCCCCTGCTCGTGCTCTGTCTCTCTCTCAAAAGTAAATAAACAAAAAAAGAGAAAAAAAAAGAAAATTAAGTGGAGAAGTGAAAGAGTGTGGTAAAATAACTGTTATGTGTATATATTTTTTAAATGTTTATTTATTCATTTTGAGAGAGTGCATGTGCCTGCATAAGCAAGGGAGGGGGAGGGAGAGGAGGGGAAGAGAGAGAGAGAGGGAGAGAGGGAGAGAATCCCAAGCAGGCCCCGTGCTCAGCACAGAGCCGGACGCAGGCATCGAGCTCATGACCGTGAGATCATGACCTGAGCCGAAATCAAGGGATGGACACTCAACTGACAGAGCCACCCAGGCACCCCCAAAATATCTGTTATATTAAAATGCCACTAAAGAAGAGAATTTGGCCTAAGCAAAGGCTCCCCAACCAGGCTGTGCTTCAGACTGACCTGTAGGGCTCAGCAAAAACCAGAAAGATGCAGGATCCTCAAAGCAGACCTACTGAATTGACAGCTCTGAGCCATCTGTGTCTTTAAAAGGTTGCACAGATGATTCCGGCTTGCGAACGACTAGGCTGCCATATGATCTATCTGTGGTGGAGCTGCCTTTGCAAATATAGTCTGATGTTCACCATCATCAAGAAAAAACACAATCGGCTTGAGACAGTCTTACCTATTACGGTTGTTCTCTATATGGAATCTAGACACTCTGTATCTTTAGGCTCTCCACTGTCCTGAGCATAAATAGGGCTGTCTCCTTGATTCAGGCCCCCAACACTCTCCTCCCTCTACCCACTAAGGTCAAGTTTTCCCTCCCTGCACCTCTTCCCCTCTTTCTCCTTTCACAGTGCCAATAGGGAAACGGCATACTTAAACATGGGCAGTTGCCCTCAACCACCCTGAACTGAGCCAGGCTTCCTTTCTTGCTGAGCCAATAATTCATGAGGCAGCTGGTCTGGTCTAGATCTCCTTTCAGAGCTATGTGGTCCAGCTATGTGCATAATACATTATAGCTAGGGAATCAAGGGCTAGACATTTTAGATTCTTCTCCTATGAAAGAATATACAAAGGGACAATGGCCAGACTATATATAAAAATAGAACTGTGACCCACAAGATGCATCAAGCAGCCCAGAATGCCAATCTACCACCTAGGGTGCCTAGTCTGGGAAGTTATATTAGCATCTGTAGCAACTAGTCCAGGAAGCCAAACAATAATCGCTATAGCAATCAGCCCCAAGTAGTCAGGACTTGATCAACAAGGGACAGCTTTCCTAATTTTTGCCCCTGCTTCCAGTTTACGGCCATCTGGAAAAAGTCAAATATGCTCCCTAAACAATCACATAGAATGCTCTCCTGCTAGTTAGCTTGTCCATAGCTTCTCCATGTCAACTGCTTCCAATAAGGACAGACCTGAAGCCTTCCCCTTTTTTCCAACATAAAGCTTTTCCACTCCTCAGCTTGCCTTTGGGTCTCTGTCAGATGCGAGTCATGGTGGCTGACTCCCTTGCTTTGAATAAACAGCCCGAGCTTGTTCTCATTTGGGTGGTCTGATTTCCACAGCTAGAAAAATGGGGCTGCATGTGTGAAATGGCTCACTGAATTGTTCTTTCATGGCTGAAATGACTACACTTTAGAGAGGCTGAGATACAGCGGAAAAGAGCACAGAAGTCAGGACTCACGACCCTGAGGAAATCAGGGTCGGGAAGTGTAGAGTGGCTGTAGGTTAAGGGCACAGGCAGTGGATCCCAACTGCCATGGTTCGAATCCTGGCTCTGCCGCTCCTTAGCAGTGTCAATTTGGGCAAGTAACTTAATGTATATGTACCATGATTTCCTCCCCTATTGAAACAGTGTGATGATAATCGCACCTACCTCCCAAGGGCAATTGGAAGTGTTATATGAGACAGCCCAGGTAAAGTACGGATATCTGTATTTCAGTGCTGAGAGAGAGAGAGAGAGTCCAGCAATTCTGGGCTGGACTTCCTGAAAAGTGGCAGTGACTTGGGACTGAGGACTAACTGCCCCTTTCAGATGGGACATATGTTCTTCATTTCCAGTCTTCAACCTGCCTTACTCATTTATGATAGCTGCCTGGCCCTATTCATTACCTGTGGGTTGGACTAAAAAAGTTTCTCTCACAAACGTAGTAATTCCAGGAAACCAATGGGTGCTAAAACTGCCCATGCCATTACCCATTTCAAAAAGATCTGGTGTGGAAAGGATCTTACCCCTCAAACGCATACTGGAACTCTCTATGCTTTCCAGAAGCCAAAGAGTCAAGCACCCTTTTCTGAGATGTTTACATCAGGGTCATACTTTGAAAGTGACAGAGCTTATAATATAATGTACACTAACTCAAAGCCCAATGCCACATTCCAGAATGTGTGACCATATTGCTCATCAGCACAAACCTTTTTTCTCATAGGTCTTGTGCTATTGTTTAAAATAAATGAGTAAGACAATTTCAGAGAATCAAGGCTAAGTTATTTTGACATGACTGTGTTTATTTTCAATCATATTAAATGTGGCATCATGGAAGATCAAATCTAACAAAAATCCCTGTACTTAACAAAACAAAGGATTTTTGTCCGAATTCTGGTGAAGACACTCAACACTTGCCAAAAGCAGTCGGTTGCCCAACTCCCCAATGGCTGCACAAAATGGGAGTCTTAAAAGCCAATTTTCTAGATTAAAATAAAAAGCCAGCATCTAGCATAAACTTTCATGCCACAAATTGGGTAAATAAGCCAGAAATACTTAATGAGGAAAACTGGGAGCCACATTAATTACAAATCGTATTCTACTTTAGCATTTCACCTGAAATTTAAGGAAGGTGGGGTACTTGGAAGTGGGCTGAAAACACCAAAGGGTACACTGAAAGGCACAAAAATGTTTTAATATGAAGATTATATTCTGGGGTAATTTTGCAGTAAGAGGACATCACATAGGCGTTCTGATTGAAAATACTCTGAACCAAGCAAAGGAGGCACAGTTGATAAAGATTAGGTGGTTTCACGCGGGTTGCCGCTTTTCCCAAGCCTCCGCTCACTTAATCTTGCACAGACACCCCAAGTGTCTTTGAAAGAGAGGGGGGAGCTCTCCTTCGGGCCTCGGGGCGTGTTTGCCTCCTTCCCGGGGCGAGGAAAGGGCAGCCTCCCCGTCGGAAGACCCCGGAGGCCGCGCGGCCCCACGCGGGCCGGACCGCGGGCAGCCTGGCCGCGAAGGCGGCGGGCCCGGCTAAGCATGCGCGCCGCGTCCCCGCCGCCCCCCGTCCCGCCCGCC